TACACTCTCTAACCCAGAAGACCACCACAATCTAAATTATCAAACTGAGAAAATCCCAAAACTTGTAACCATGCTATGAACTCGGAATTTTATCATTAACAGCTCATAACGGTATGAATGGCAAATTGTACGGCCATACTTAATCGATTAAATTCGGAAGAACGTTATTTTTGTAGATTCTGATGAATGATATAAAGTCTTAAACTGTTCTTTGCTGCGTTATATTTTCTTTCCTTGCCAGTTTTTATTCTTTCTTGCTTTTGCACCGTATCCTTCTTGATGGCTTCTAACATCTGCGAAAGTTTATAGAGCTCTTTCGCCACGTCTTTTTATGTAAGACGTAAATCAGCACACAGGAAACGGACCAGAAGGAAGGAAGAAAGGGAACTCCTAGGCTACATACATCCCACATGCGTCTGTGTGTCATTATGGCCGTCCTTCCGTCTATACGTTCATTTCAGATCATTCTTCCGGGTCGTCTCTTCTTTCTCCACCCGTTTCTTTAGAATCCTTACTCGCCTGATTGCCTTTAAGATGTTCGTTGAATGGTGAACGCTTTCTGCAGATGACAAGACTCCTACGAAGTGAAATTTGATAGTTTCCCCCATAATATCACAGTCCACTGTAACGGAATTAACATTAGCAGGCTTGTGAACGAGAGATTCAGCAACCGTCCATTAACTGACAAGCCTACAAATCTGCAATAACCTATGTTATTATTATTATTTATTTTATTTATGTGTGTTTTGTTTCTTTCTATGTCCTCGTGCTCGCTTTGTAATTGTCCTTTGGGATTTTAAGTTTTCACAAAAAAAAATACGAATTTAATTGCACTGAAATATTACCATACACTTCCTTCTTTCTGTTTTTCGCTTCTTTTCTTTACTTATGCTCACTTTGTAATTGGCCATTGGACTGTTATGTTTGCACGAAAATAAATATGAATTAAATTACCTACTGGTGGTGGTAGCAGCAGTAGTTTTAGTAGTAGTAGTAGTAGTAGTAGTAGTAGTAGTAGTAGTAGTAGTAGTAGTAGTAGTAGTAGTAGTAGTAGTAGTAGTAGTAGTAGTAGTAGTAGTAGTAGTAGTAGTAGTAGTAGTAGTAGTAGTAGTAGTAGTAGTAGTAGTAGTAGTAGTAGTAGTAGTAGTAGTAGTATAGTGCCATGCTAATTACTTAAATTATGTGACTGAATACAGGATTGTGTTGGATTACAAGCTCAGTACGTGCACATACTCGTATAGCGTCGACATAAAGAAAAATGTTCTGTAGACCCAGTGTTACAAGAGCCATTCAGTGTGAACGTAAAGCTCGACACTGCTGCAAGTTGCTTCTGTTGGAACCACACTGACAAGTCGTTGAGAAATTTCTTGGATTAATTTCAGAAGTAGTGTTAGGAGATAGTTCGCAGTCATTTACTTGGGACTTTTAACTCGTTCATTGGAATATTAAAGTGAATACTGAAAAGTGACAATAGTGAGGAGCCATGACCGTCCGAATTATTGAAGCGATTTTTAGCTGCTATTTCTTATTTTGAAAAAAAAAGAAATGTAGGCTTATGACATCACTTTACTGTCCGTGTGTCTGTACGTGTATACTCCCCTTGAACTTTGAAGGACTGAACCAGTCTTCGTGAAACTTGGTGTGTAACATAGGCACCCGAGTTCGTTTCAACGGCGTACTTGATAAATCCCTCCCATAAATCTGCGTGTCTGCATGTTTATCCGCCCTGTTGTTACTAGGCAACGGCTAGGTAAACATGTTCGCACTGCAATCAACTGTTGGAGGCGTCATTTTCTATGCGGTCTGTGTCGTATCAAAGGAAAGTAGTCGATTAGTTCTTCCCACCACTTGTTATTTAAACAATGTATTTCACGGTTTACAAAGAGATCAGTACAATTTCTCACTCACCAGAAATTAATTTAATAATGATTACAGCGGACATGATGGTGCCAGAAATACTCAAATGTACCTGCCTGCTTAATGTTTATTAATTATGTTGTCAGTGTCTCGGAATATATAGCGCCGAACGGAATCATGCTTAGTTGATAAGTAATTGCAAATCCTATAGAAGGAAGTGGCCGTGGCCTAATTTGAGATACTGTCCGACGTTTTCATGAAGAAACTACGGAAACTTGAAGTCCCATAATCAACATTATTCGATGTCTGTAGATAGATTTGAACCCTGGACCTCGAACGTGGAGGAGTGCTTCCAACTCGATAGAGAAATTCGATCAGAAGTTTTAAAAATATTTGAAACTGATCGGGAAAGATCGAATTCAAATATAAGATATTATTAATTTAATCTGTATTTATTTACATACATATATATATACTATTTACTTATTACGCAGGTAATTGTTTTTTTTTAAATTAATTGGTAGTATTATATGTTTAGAGACTCGTCTGTCGTCAGTATTAACACTGGTAGAGCTTGCTCAAGGTTATTTCACAACACTGTGTAAAAACTTAAAAACTTCGTAAAAAGTTAGTCCAGTAAATGAAATCTACATGAATTAGAATATCAAGGACTTCGAACTGCCCTAAATGATTTACAAGTATTAACACTTAATTCTTATTTTAATATCGTCCTACTTCTTTTAATGGATTAACTTTTTATTAAGTTTTCCATTTCATGTAGATTATTGTAAAATAGACTTGACAAATTTTTGCGGATGTTTCTATTGAACTACTAAGGATGACATTTCAGTATCGAAAAATGTCGGGTCACCAATCAAGTTCAATGGATGAATAAAGAAGAATCATCTTATGTTGAAATTTGTTGCTTACATTAAATGTATTATGGATTACAGCAGTTCCTTGTACAAATTAAAATAAAACATTCGGAATTTTAGAATTATTGATACTGTGAATTTTCAAATTTCGAATATTATTGTTGCGTGAGGAAGTGTGACACTCTACGGGACTTTGGATTGGTGAATGGATTTATTGACCGCTTCTACACGCAACTGGTAACTAAAAGTAATTAAAGTGCAATCACTAATCTCCAGATGTAAGTTTTGAGGTTTTCACGGCGATGACAANCTATTCAACTGCTCTGAAGAAGGAGGCGCTACGTTCCTCCGAAACGTCGGCCAAAACGAAGAATACACGGTGCCTAAACCCAGAAGACAACTTTCTTCACTAATCTTCACACTTCACAAATCACTAGAAAAGTAAGTAAAGAAAGTAAAGAAAGCTATCCCTATAACAGGCCGTGAAGGCCCATAGGGTTGTGAGACGTTGAGGGTCCCTCATTATCTAGACAATCGGCTCAAAGATGTCGGTAAGGTTGTCAGCCTTACGCGCTGGCCGCGCTTTACTCCCCAGGAAAATTATTCAATTAATTCCTGGTACTCATTTCTGTTAGAGGCTGAGTCGACCTCAGGGCCATAGTGCGGCTGGAAGGATTAGATCAATTGAAAAAAATCCATGACATCATCCAGACTTGAACCCGCGACCTTCCGGCTTGTAGCATAGTGTCTCAACCAACTACGCTACCGCGTGCCCCCACAAATCACTAGAGCACACGCTAAGTTTTCTCAGTCTGCTTTCACTAATCGTTTCCTGGTAATGCGTCTTAACAATGGAGATACTTCAGCAGCATCTATACTCACGTCGTTGCTCGCTGATTAATACGCCACAGCTGAACAGTCAACTGAACTCTTTGCTCGAGCTTCCCTGGTTATAACATCTCGGCACGCACCACATAGAAAGCACTGCTCTACTCTTGATACATTCGTGTCATTTGTTGCGGGACATTCTTTACTGAGCCGCTGCCCAGAAACAATCATTATTTATTCGCTTATCTCGCGATAGTTGCATAGTAACCTTTGTACACGCTACAGTACTATTCGTATGCATTCTTGTCTTATCAAGGTTATGGGAATCAAAGTGCAATGTATCGGTTACATCGGTATATTTTCTCCATTCTTATTGATTGATATCTTTTTATCCCTTAGTTTCTTTAAAATATTTAAATTCAGTCGTCTTCGCATTATCTATACACTCATTCAAAGTGTGATAATATACATTGATCAAATCGTGTGTAAGCCTCACATTTCTTTCAAAACCTCAGCTTTCATTATGAGGTTCATTAAGAGTTTTTGCTGCTTGGAGACTTCTGCGATAATAAAGGTAATGACTGAAATCTGCAGATGAGTTTCCAGAATTGTGGTGTGCGGCAAGGTGGCCATAGAATTAGCGAGTGACATGGAAGTCCTACCTTAACTTCTCATATCCCAGACTTGATATGGGACTGAAAACTTCGAAAGTTAAAGTGCTACTTCACGTTATATCATTCTGTTTTCTTAAGCTCTGAAGGTTTTAACAAATTAATATTTAATCTAAGAGGTGAATATATATATTTTATATATAATGACATTACATATTACTAAAAATCCAGTATTCCAGTGCGTAAACATTGGCCAATTAAGAAAAATAGCAGGCGGGTTCAGGGGAATGTAAAAATGTCCAATACCTGATTATGGCTTAATGAGCCGAAACGTGTTTTAAGAATTGTCTCCAGTGGCTTCGTGTTAATAAAAATCAGTGAATTGATTCAGATTTTTATAATTTTGGTTAAATGAATGGCGCATGTTCACGCAAGGCAATAAAAATCATTCTAAATTTTTCTTACCATTGGCACGAAAATAGGCTGAAAATTTGGAGGGAAGCTCAGCATCTGTTATTTTATAAGATGCTCACAAAGAAGGCAATTGTTTTGTTTTACGATTAACCTTCGAGTTCCAGATTATGTTTCAAATAACATTTTGGTTGTAATTATTCTAATTATTATAAATAATATTTTCTGAATTATATGAACTTAATTAAACAAAGTGAAATCTTCTTGGCACTGCATGAGAGCCCTTATGCTACATGTAAAATTGAATATCGTTAGCCTGATAGCAGCTCTAATGTTATTACTCTCCAATCTGCAAATAAATATGAAATAAGAAATACATTAACAGTAATTAACAGAAGTTGTTTTCCTCTTGTTCCAGCTCCATGTAACTGCTTGCAATGGATTAGAAGTACCAAATAATCCGAAGCCGAGAACACGCATTAGCTCAGCTGACTGGTAAGTATTTCTAACATTAATCTCCAGAATTTACATTAAAAATTCATATCTAAAAATGTTCTTGCTTTATGCCTGAGTGCTATCAGAGTTGATCTATCCTCTTATCTATAATGAAACGATTTTTTAGATGTAGTTCTTTAAAATAATACCATACTGGCTTTTGTTGATGTTGATTATGGGAAATGGAACAGGTACACAATAGATAGAATTGCACATATTCTCCTGTGTGATATTAGGGGCTTCAGAAAATTGTTTGTAAGTAAATATAGATTTACTACATACCGGAAATTGATGTGAGAGCAAAACCAGAAGCAATCCTATTAAGTAACTGTTCATAATGAATTATTTGATAATATCTGGAAGCAATAATAACAAATCTGCTTAAAGATGGACTTAGAAGAATGAGGTATTCTAAAATTGTAGTTAGGTAACTTATATCAACCCTCACATCTTAAAACACAAATCTGAATAAACAAATATAATTTAACCCGATGCTTTTAATGGGTATGAAAAGTGGTCCCATGCATTTTCTTAGGAAATAAGATTTATGCAGATGTTTGCAAAAATAGATCTCATAAATTTATTTTAACTTGAGAAAGTTGAAATAAATAAACAAAGTAGGATAATGTTTATCGCTTGGTCAGGAGTTCTGTGAGTCATACAGGTCAGTCGTATTGTTAGGGAGATGAAATCAGGAGGATTCGTTTTGAGCAAGATGAAGATCGCGGGGAATTCATACTGGACTGTGCTGTGAAAATTTTCAGTCTCTGCTGTAATTGCTTTTTTGGTTTGTTATGACCTCATATGTACAAGATGATTTAAATGTTTCGGTCAAACATACGAACATACGTATATTACTTACTTACTTATTCATGGAGCTGAGCTCTTCTTGAGGAGCCGCCAATTCTGCAGCTACTCAAGAATTTCCCAGCATTTTATGGAACCTGAAGATTCATTATTGTGTTCACAGGAGCCCTCCACTGTCCATCCTGAGCCAGATCAAACCAATCCATACCATTCTATCCTATCTCTCTAAATCCATTTTAATAATTTCAACCTACCTACGCCTTGGTCTTCCCAGTGGTTCTTTCCTTCTGGCTTTCCCACCAATAGTTCTCTTCGCTCCCATTCGTGCTACATGCCCTGCCCACCTCATCCTCCTTGACTCGTTCATTCTAATTATACTTGGAGAAGAGTACAAGTTATGAAGTTGAAAATATATATAAATTGAATTTTAGTTGGTTGAATTCGATGTTCCTACTGCATGTAGAAGTGGCCTATAAGTATATGCCTAAGGTAACAGCACTGCAGCCGTAGAAGTTCTTGGCTGGGGTGTCAGAATGTTATACTTGCACAAGAACTTTATCCCATTCATTCTATCATTAAGTAGCAGGTGTTGTATTGGGTATACGATACTGAATTCGGACAGGGAATAAAATCTCTAATTCCATTTAATTAGTTTCAATTTTATACTGGGTCATCCTGCCACTAGTTGGCATACTTCAGAGTTAATTATTTCGTAATTAGCCTTTGTTGAAGTAAAAATTGATACGTGTAGGAGTTTTTGTTATGCAATCATCTGCTTTTTATATAAAAAAGTATACAATAAATTTATTTTTAAGAGACATGGAGACGAATATAAGCAATTATCTGAGACAGCGACACTGAGAGAGAGAGAGAGAGAGCAGTTTGACGTACCCTTCTCTTGCCTTGTTTTTACTCTACGACTTGCAAACTCCAGGGCCAGGCTTATACCAGTGTAAAGTGCAACAACAGCATATAGCCTACTGACGGTGAGGAGAGGAAGGCCTCAGTTTACCTACCATTCTATTCTATACCAAACTGTCAATCTCTGTTATTTGATATTCATAGCGTTCCACATTCAAATCTCAGGACGTAGGCTAATTTATTCATTGCTTTAGAACCACTGATTCTTCGGTATTTCAGTCTGCCTGGTGACGTCTTTGCGTTCGCTCACGAGAGGAGTGGACATGTGCACTCAGGTCATACACCTCAAGTTGAGGTTCATCCTATATTTTCATAACATATCAGCCTTTTCTATGAGTTTTTTTTTCAATTAAAATCTTCTTTCATTATATTTCCATTGAAAAGTATAATTTCTTTTGATGAAAATTTTTAAATGCTAATAAATANTTCTTCATAGTCACCGCCGTGAAAGCCTCAAATCTTACAATAATACGTTTGTTTCACTGGCCCTCTCAAACAATAGATGAAGTCACATCACAGTCTGATACTTCTCTTCTCCACTTGTTCTCTGACTGGCCTTCAGCCACATAACTGCATTTCTTTGTTCTTCTGCTTTAGAGCATTTTTATTAGACTATGATTTATTTCATGGAGTCCTATCACACTCGTATCCTATGTTCTGGTCCTCTAAAACTTTCACATTACCACCCAAACTTCCCCAAGAACTACAGCATCAGTTTCATTACAGCATGTACCTTTTATACTCTCTGAAATTTCAAACCTCTTTATATTTCTTTTCTTCAATAAGTTCATAATTAATTTCCTTGCTCAAAATAGTTTTTCCTTATGAAATATCTGTTGTGTTCTTGATTAAAATGAAAGTCTTCCCAGAATTTTGCAATTGGCTGTATTATAAAGCGTTGAGTATTGTTCTCGCCGAGATATTACCTCTCTTAATCAGGAATTTCTTTCATATAATAATCTTACTTAAATTAATGCTCTAATAAACTTTACAATAATAGACGTAACATTTGTGAAGTATAGAGCCGTTGCTAAGCGATGACTTTATAAACAACGGCCGTTGCTAAGTTGTGAATAGATGATGATAACAAATACTTAAGAACAATCTTACCACTGCAGTTTGAAAACTTTTGAAAATTAATTAAATCTATTAACTGAATTTTTAATAAATTTATAATGATTTCAAATGTTCTAGAATTGGATCCAACACCTGCATATAATTTCTGATTTGCATAAACTGCTGTTGCTTGAGAAAACAACAAGCTACAAATATGATAGCCAGTTTTATCGGTAGAAACTGCTTGGAATATAAAACATTTTTTATTTACTACTCTCGTTAGCCGTTTATTTATAGCAAGTTGCAAAGCAGGCGGAACCCGATACAAGACTTTTATTTTACACAGGTATTTGAATGTGTTTCGGAGTGAAATCGTGGATTGGATTATTGACAAATGGCATTATTGGAATACACGCACCTGGAAGGGTTATCCCATGTTTATAAAATTATACAAACTAGCCACAAGCCAGTAGTACAGAAAATACTCTATAACATTTGCGTTATCTTGTTTACTTTGAATCCCTTAAAAACTATTAAAATTACTACTTCTTCTGGAGGTGTCATATAGAATTTTGTGACAGTAAACTATGTGTTATATAGAATTTTCCAGAAGGACGAAGACTTGAGACTACTGTGTATTTTTACATCGAGTTCAAGTACACAGAGGAGCCCCCCACCCCATTCCCAAGCTCAGCAGAAATATCACAAATACAGAGGAAACTAAGCTACATCCATGAATTGATTACCAGACTACTAGAGTAAACATCGTCGTTCTGAAAATAGTTATGCCGGCATATAAGCTGCAAAATGTGTAAAATTACCAAGAAATAAAACTTTCGGGGTTAAAAGAATATTTTAGTTTAAAAATTCATGAGATTATTCTTTTGTAACAGATAATAAATAACAGGTGGACATTTTTGTATACGATTTGTTTTATTCTGTAATTTAAGGTTCCACAATTTATTTTGGGGAAATTACAAAACCTTTTCATTGGAATATCTATAGAAAATTCTTATATGAACTAGGAGTGAATTTGGAGATAATTTAAAATGTATAAATTTAAAATTGTATAGGGATAGACTGATAGTATGAGGGCGAGAACTGGCTTGAACTGGCTCAGGATATCTGGCTTATATGAAGAGTATGGTACAACTTCTGGTCCTCGAAGAAAATAGCGAAGTTTCTTGACCATAATAATAACTGAAAAATATTTAAATGTATCCTGCAAAATTATAGAGATTTTCTTTCAAATTTTTAGATATTATGAATGTAAAGAGACTATCGCGAAGCGTATTTTTATAGAATGAACTCCATTTTAGCCAGTGCACAAGCATTCCCCTCCATAATCCCTGTATACAAGACAGATGCAAGAAAGACATTCGGCGGCTGGGTTTAATCAATGTCTCGAGCGGGAATGTGAAGTGGCTCACGGCATGATTTCGACTTCTCCCTGACAAGTGACGGATGCAAGAAGCTGTCTTGCATTGAGTGACACTGTTTACGGGAATGAATGCAGAAACAAACCTGTACTTGCTCTTGTATATCTACTAATAGGATCTCTCACGAACCCTACGAACACTCTAGTCACATGAATTCTAAATATTTGAAACTGTTGCCTGCCTCTGCGATGCATCCACCATTTGAAACATCGCCGAACCTGAAAAGTCTAAGGTTTTAGGAGACAAGTTTTAGAATTCCAAGAAGGGGAGTCGCTGCACTCTTACGTACACACAGAAACTTCCTTCTAAATATACACATGTGTTTACAGTATTCAATAAGTTAATTCATTTATGGAACACGGAAACTGGGGATGGAAATTTAAAATAACTACACTGATGTCAGGAGTTTGTATTTGTGTGAATATAAATTTAATAAAGTAAATTTATATGAGTTGAAAATTTTGAAAGTTTTGAGGTTCCCATGGCGGTTGTTATAAATTTTTATTTTCTGGGATATAATGTCGAGTAGTCTGTTGAAAGTTAATGGACGTTTCGCAGGAACATGGCCTCCATTTTTAAGGTTGAAGAATAAGTCCAGCTAACTGCCTAATTTCGTGCTGGATTCCTGCTCGGTTTATTCTTCAGCCCTGAGGATATAGGTGATATATACCCCGAAACGTCGGTTGAAAATCAAGGGACTATACGGCGTCATATCTCCGAAAATGGATCTGTTTATGAAAGCATATTTGTATTTTCATAAGTGAAACAATTTTACTT